TTGTAATGTTTAAAAAATACCTGTCATTTCAACTTTAATTTCCCATTTAACCATGTAAAAGTTGCCTCCATCAAAATCCCCTTCACTACAAGCAAATTCTTAATTATTAACAAGTCATATTCCTCTCAGGCAAATAGCTGCAATTGCATGGCTCAAAAAATTAAGATCAGTGTAGACAAATTTGCTATATCTCCAAGCTACATAGGTCTCACATAGACCTAAAGGATGGTTTAAATATATTTTTTTATTATAGAAAGAAACTATAATTCCTTTGTCAGTAGCACCATATTTGTTGCCATCTAGCTGGGGTAAATCATATTCTTCTATTTTTTTTTGTATACTTAAGATCACATCTTCAGGAAATATATGTATGACATAGTTGAAAAGAAAACTGTTCATTACTACAACTTTCTCTTCTTGCAAATATTGTCTTTTAAACCCTCGTAATTCAACAGGTATATTATGTACATAGGTAAATATTCCACTTTCTCTTGTTGAAAGATATCTGCAAACATTAATATTAATAAAGTTTTAAAAGTTAAAAACTTAAGTTTAGTTAAATATATACCTTGCAGCTGTTAAGATACCTTGATTCAATTCTTTGATTTTTGACATTCAGGCAACTTGTGGTGCAAAACAAACATGTCAATAATCATACTTTTTATGAGTTCAAGTACATTAGGACCAATATAATTTCGGTATATAGCCAGTATTACCTTGTTGGAGGCTCTATAATGAACTATTATTTCTTTATTTTTTTTTATTATTATCGGAAGATAGGAGGCAGCATCAATCGCAGATACATGGAAAAGCAAGGGGTTTGTTTTTTCGAATATTTACTTTCCTTTTATTTTTTTTTCATCGTAACTAGAGAGGGGTCAAGATATATCATTTTTACTGTATGTATCTCCTCAGGATACTTTTGAGTCAATAAATTTTTCTTGACCTGTAATTTAGTTAATACAGTTACAAAAAATTGCAAAAATTTTAACTTACAAAATTTTTATTAGTCTTTTTTTTGGATTTTTTTTGCATTATCAATATCAGCCCTCAAAGCAGTAGCAGCATTTTTCAAATCATTATCACAAGTAACCAAGAATCTCGAAAAATCCCTCCACCAGTTGATCTGATATTGTTTTATTGTTAATAAACTTGAAAATATATACAAGTATTTTTTATTATATTTATATGCTAATAAGTATTGATGTTAGAGTCAGAAATGGCCAGGCAAACATTCAGCAAGTGATGTATCGGTTCACTTAAAAATGCAATATATTTTATTGGGTCATCATATTTTTGTGATACAAGAAAATAGAGGGCAGCAACAAAGGTTTCTAAATTGAGACATTTAAAATTAGCTTAATATATATAGTATCCTGCTAATGCAAAACTAAAATTGACAGCCAAAAATAGCTGTTGTCGATAAAATTTCACATGCTGGTCCAGGGTTTCCCACTAGTAACAAATGGTATTGACTGGCACTTGCAAGCAGTGTCAGACAACAAGATTGCCTGCACGAGTCCAGGGTTTCCCACTGGAGGCACAAGGCACCATTTCTGCCTCAGTACAAACACAGCAAAGGCTGCTAGTCCAGGGTTTTCCACTGAAGGTAACATCAATGCTACATCAATACTTGCAAGCACTACCTTGTATCATTATGGGCCTGCTTGTACTAGTTCAGGGTTGTCTGCTGGAAGCACATAGCATGTTTAATCAATACAGCGTATAAAGGGTATGTCAGTTTAAAAATTTCCCCCACTCACCCTTTGCAGAAAGAAATCAGTGATTTTTTGTAGCTTTACGACTTTCATTAGCATGGTCCATACTAGATGAATAGTGCCATGTTAATACTGGCAACAATAAAGTAATAGCAGGGTATTATAGCATCAGTAAATATTGCTTACTTGTTTATAGTATTAACTAAGACTTGTAATCGATTGTAGCTGAGATCAAAAAACTGGGAAACGTAAACAGAGTTATAGTTAATACTAGCAGAAATAAAATAATAGTAGCATGTACAATTCAATAAAGGATTGCTTGCCTGTGGCTATAGAATGTAAACTTGTGGATGATTGTGGATTGATAGTTGAGAGGCTGAAAATTGATAAAGTTAAAACTGGCTGTTAAATGGTCAGTAAAATGTAAAATAAAAAGCAAAACAAGTATATACTGTATATCAAGCAAAAGCTATAACTAGCCAGTAAAAATACAAGGGCAGCTAACGTGTTGCTACACTGGTTGGCAGAAGGAACTGTTTAGCAGCAATAGTGAAACGATCACAATAAATCATAATTTTTTTTTTTTTATAAATCAATCGTGTCCAATCCCATATCAGATTTGCATCCATATTTGTAATATCGATCTACTATATTATCGATTTTTAACAGTTATGATTTTTAACAATTATGGTACTTGCACCAGACCAACAATTACATTTCTCCTGCTTGTAATTTTAGCATTTATGGCAACAATACCTGTTTGGAAATTATCTGTTTTAACAATTGCTCCTTCAATAAAGCAATCTTCAAAATACGTATTTTTTTTGTTTATAATTACGTTCTTGATTTTTTTAAAATCAAATTTATTAGAAATAAGATTACCAGGCCATTTTAGAAATATAAAATTAGCAAGATAACATAAGCCGGGTTCAGATTTTGTTACAAAGATAGAAATTAGATTATAATATTCTATTTTATAAAAGTATTAGAA